CAAATATGTGCTGGGTTTAAAAGACGTCATTGCTTATTGGACTGAAAATAAAATGAAAAAATAAAAATTAAATTTTTATAAAAGCTAAAAGAAATAATAAGAAAAAAACCATTTTTTTAAATCATGATTTTCTTGTTTTTATCACAGATCAAAAAATTTCAGACATCAATTTTGTTAAAGAATTAATGTATAGACATAGAGAAAAATTCCCTGCTTAAAAACTCAATTTTTTTCAAAGTGATATCATTTTGTTATATTTTATCTTAAGTATATTTTATCGCTTTTCTAAACTATGCAATCATCTTTTATTCATTTTCTGGTCTCTGTTAGCGCAAATTCTACCCGAGCCCGTTTTCTCCATAGATAGTGGTCGTGTATTTCACGTACTTTGGGGGAGGATATGTTGGCCGCTAGATGTCTCATGCTAAATTCTTATCTGATCTGTAGCCAGTGTGAGCTCAACAGCTCGGAATAGGGATAGTTCCATTGATGTAGCCCCTTCAGTTCTCATACAAACCCGGAGATAAGCTCGGATTGCAAGTAGTCCGGCCTATAAACAAGACAACGTTTTAGCTCTTTTGTTTATTATAGCTATAGGTTTGACAAAAATGGGACGGATAACAAGTCATCTCATCTATATCGTTTAGGAAGATACGGCCATTAAAAAATGCCAACCAGAGAATATGCTTTGAATGCATGTTTGGGCGCATTGAGAACCCAAGCTGCGTTGAATCGGGAATTATATTTTCTTTTCTAAATTTGAATTCAAGCCAATAGGCGTGTCGGCTTGACATGAGGAAATGACTGAAGGAAATTTGAATTGGCCTGGACTATAACCGAAACAGAGTCATGGTTTCCAGGAATCCAAAGACTGAAGATTAACTGGTATGAGGCGAATGAAAGGCAGAGAGCTCCGGCTTTCCATGATTCATTATAATACTATAGTATCATTTTTGTTTGTTAATTTTTTCCTTTTAAATACATTTTTCCTGTACTAAGTAGGTTTACTCAAATCAGTTTTATAGGCTTTAGATTTCCTTTATTTCATACCATCTTTATATGGTAACATGGTGACATGCTTCAAATTTCGAGTACGCCGTTTAAAAAGTCAAACGTGCCTAACTGATGTGTTAAAGTTTAATAGTTCGGAATTTTATAATTTATTTTACCAAGGATCCATGGCGGTTCCAGCCATGCGTATCATGTTTTGCTGTTTCATCCCACAAAATTTCAATAAATGGAAAAATTCTTTTCTAAAATACTGTTTATCTTGAACTACATTAAAAGAGGCCGTAAAATTAAGAATGCATTCATCAATTTAAAAAGTCCACATGAAAATAACGTGACACGGACTCCATGAGGAGTAGCACGTGACTTCACGTGGTTTTTAACGCGTGTAATCGATGCATGGCACTAGGAAAACTCTCTTTCTCTTACTTCTCTCTATACACCACTCTTTAATATCATCTGAGTACTGAGAAATTGTAGATATAGTACTGTGTCCCAATAAACATGGGAATTCAGTGACGAATTCGATATTGTCTTTATAAATAATTCTTTGATTAAGTATAGTGATACCTAGACTGAGAAAGCTATAATCTGTAAGAGTTCACAATGTTCACAATTTGTTTGTTAATGTTTTGACTGCTTACGGTCGTACTCAGTAAAACAAGAAAATTGCTGTATACAAACAGAGTTAACCTGTCCCTCGACTTCACTGTTCATCTTGCGGAGACATTATGAACACATCTTTACAGTCTTTTACCCTTTTCTTGAAATAAACTCTAGCAGACATAATAATATTATGGCTTTTGAAATTAGGTATTACAATGCTAATTCAATACAAAGACGATATCCAATTCGTCACTGAATTCCCATGTTTTTTGGGACACCCTGTAGATTCGTGTTCAACTGATGCTCTCGTAGGTTCATGTTGCTTTTAAATGTTTGGAGATAAATACTGGGATCAGCTACGCAGAAATAGATTTTTTAATAACTTTCCGAAAAAACATGTGGACATTTGACACATTCTTTTCTAGGACGTGGGGCTATTAGAATATATATAAGATGGAAGGGGCTTCACTGCAGTGGCGTAAATAAGGTGTGTTATTGGGGTTATTTACCCCCCTTAAACAAAAAT